TGCAAATACGAAAGTATTAATACAGCTGTAGACATAAATAAATAAACTAAATTATAGTAAAGCATCACATTGGCCGATGCATACATTTGTCATTATTCCTCGTACTTACAATAATTCTTGATTCCTGAAATTCATTTCACAACAGTCCTAATAAATAATTCATTGCTTTACAATCAAACATTGGCTTCCTCTTTTGCCGCTGTTCTATTTTTTAAAGTTTTATGAACAGAATACTTTTGGGGTTTGAACCATCAAAAATAAATAATTCAAAAGCCATGCGATGGGCATTTATAGTTTTATCTGTCAACTGCCTTTAACCATCCTACATCATCATTATCTAAAAACCACCACACAAAAAGCCCCCCTCCCATCCGGCTAATAATTCAAGTGGCCCATTCAGAACCATTACCGTCCACCGAGCTCCATTCATTAGCCCAATCAGCTGGGTGATGGGACGAGAGGCCGGAAATATATGGAATAATAACTAAACACAGCAGACGCAGATGCAGCTTTGGCTGTGTAATTGCACCCGAAATGATTAAATGAGTCTGAATCCGTATTTATCCTCTAGCTGCATTAGCAGTGCACACTTCCAAACACACACACACACACACACACACACACACACACACACACACACACACCTGGGAGAGTGACTTTCTGCTGATTTGAGTTATTAGCAGTTAGTGACTCAGTGAGCGGAAGGAATAGACAAACACGCGCGCACACACACACACACATATGTATATACATATATACACACACACACACACACACAAGTCTGGGGCAATGTCATAGGAAAACAGATGGCGTGAGGACAGAGAGGAGATTTGCTGTAAACAAGTTGATCTATAATATATCATTAGCCCCTCTGCAGGCTGCCAAGCTAACTGATAAAGTTAATACACACACAACGTGGCGGTTATTTGTGCACATGTCACCAGAAAGAAAAGTGAGTCCACAGGGCGATGTCCCCTGACTCCCGTGTGATTAGCAAGATGGAGAAAGACCAGAAGGACAGGGTGTGTGGAGCTCTGGAAGCTCTGGGAGCCCCCCACACACCCACACACACACACACACACACACAAAAAGGGAGAGTTGAAACTTCGGCATGTGTGTGTGTGTTGTTAATTGCATATAATCAGATGAAAGAGCTGCTGTGGCGCTCAAATGATGAAGGGGGGGGGGGTTTAATCAAGGTCAACGCTGATGAGCTACTACGAGATCAGCTCAAGTGGATGAGTCCCGCCAGGCGACACAGTCAACCGCCGCGGTGTGATCGGATCCGATCCAACCGGGCAGCAGAGATAATAGGACTTCATTCGATATACTGGATGTTTGCTGCAGATTTGAATATGTGAAAGTATGATGGAGGTGTCGAGGGAGCCCGTAATAATTGCGCAATAAGCCGCGGGAGCTCCTCTCCCCTCCCGTGTAATTCAATCGCTGTGCAACAAGTCTGCATGAAGGTCAGACTGTTTGTGAACAAAACACACAAACAGCACTAAGAAATGGGACTTTGTTTGATGAGAATAAGACCGCAAAGGGTGAACATTTTGAAAAACATACCCACTTCCACCCCCCGATAATGCATTTAATGGAACTGGGATGACAACTTTCTGTTCCTAACTTTTTTATTTGAAGCTCCTATTCTTTGAGGGGGGGTTGCCGCCTTCCCTTCACGCAGTGTAAAGCGCTTTCAAATCGTCTTTGTGTACGAGACGTAACGTAAAAGAATGAACTCGCCCGAGGTTTTCTAACCCCGTGCTGCCCTGCTCATCACTGGCCATTCACGCAGGGCACAGAGTCGCGGGGCCATTCGGGTGCCAATCACGCGCCGGCGGTGAATGAGGCGGAGGGGGGGGGGGGGGGTCACGGAGTTGAGGGAGCGAGATGCCACGGAGTAGTCGAAAGGCTAATCAGCACGTCTTCGCCTCGCAATCACACCCCCATTCACTAAAAAGTGTAGCGTGGTTCTAAGTGTCGCCTGTCAGGGGGGCCGACATGTGACATGTGACTTGTAATTAACTTCTTGAGTCGGGCGATGAAACTGCTGGGAATGAAATATAAAGCTGCATCGTTCGGGATGCTTAAGTCCTATATGGATGCAAACTAATGATATTTAGAATGGTTCGTATTTAAAAACAAAAACTTTAGTTTGAGATACATTACTCAAAGAGGTGTCCATGTGAAAGATGCTCGTACTTCTATAAATACCACTACGTTTTTTCCATGAGGCCGACTCATTTCTCTTCCCTGCGTTGCGTCCCCCCCCGAAAGAGATGGATGATTGAAGATTCCCCGTAATCAAGCATTTGACATTTCCGAGGGGGATCCGCTGGGATGTGCGCACCTTCGCCATTTAAAGCCAGGCAGAGACCGCGCAGGAGGCTCATGGACGCGTCGTAGCCACGGTGATTAAAAAGGGCTAATTAAAGTGAGATGGAGGAGATCGTTCCCTTGTTGGGCTTTTTCGTTTTTCTTTTTTCTTCTATTAAATTTCCCATGAAATTAGATTTCTCGATTGGCTGAATTGGGATGGAAGGTTGACTGGAGCTTTTTTTTTTTAAATCTAAAAGGGTTTATTGGCACCCAGCCCTCACCGACAACAAGCTCCGTGTGTGTGTGTGTGTGTGTGTGTGTGTGAAGGAGACGTTAGGCACCCCGAGTTGAATCCGTCTCTGGAGGAGACGAGGAAGGGGGGGAGCCGAACCTCGCGCATGTTTGACGGGTCCCGCCGCCCGTGGAGGAGCGACGTGAACATGGCCTCCGATTCTTTTGAGTCCCGCGTTCCCTAACCTCTGTGACGGAAACAGGAAGCGGCCGGACGAAGAGACCGGTAACCTGTGAACGAGGGAGAAGAGGCGCACGCACGGAGGAAGAAGCGGGTTAACTCGCCTCCGAACCGCTGTGACTTGACTAAAGGGGAAGAAAGCTCTCATGTCTACCCCCCTTTTCCAAAACCATTAACACACACACACACACACACGCACACACGCACACACACACGCACACACGCACACACGCACACACGCGGGGTCAAAGCAGAGGCGAGCGGTATAATTGAGTGAACCGTGACCTGCTCTCTTCATACCGGTTTCTTTTGTGTCTGCGAGTGTCCTCGCTTTCATCAGAATGATTTCAATATTCATGAGGAGGCTGGTGGCCGGTGTGTCTCCAGACGGGCCGGGGGGGGGGCTGTAATCAAATCACAGCCGCCCCCTCATCCCCGCCCTCATCAACCACCAGTGGCGGTCTTCCTGCGCACGGTAACACTAACATGCTACGCTACACGCCTGCCTGCGGTTCGGCGCAGGGTGTGTGTGTGTGTAACTATGGGTTGAGTGATGGTTGGGGGGCTGGCTCAGATGATGAGGTCTGGACTCGCAGGCTAAGCTAACCGCGGGGCGTACAAATAGCTCGCCATTATCTCTCATTAGCATCGGTGGCTAACACAGGGCCCACGCTGTGCGGCGGGGAGCCCCCTCACAATGGGACCACTTCGGCATGATTGATGAGGAAACAGCGTCGGCGGCAATAACCGACCGGAACGGAGCAAAAACAACAAAAAGGGAAAAGGCCCCGAAGATAGAATCTGCCGGCGAGGTTATAGAAACGCAGACAAACGAAAAGGGAGTCGGGCTAATCAAGAAACACCAGGCACAGCTCATTAATCCGAGTGAGGCGCCGGCGCCGCTCGGGGAGCCCGGAGATAAGTCGCGTGGAGCACGGACCGGCCCACGCGCGTCCCAGCCAGCCCGCCGCTATCATCTTCTTCATCATCATCATCATCATCATCATCATCAGCAGCAACAACAGCAGCAGCAGCAACAGCAGCGGCGGGCTAAAAAACTAAAAAGGAAGCCACGAGGAGTGAGATGAAAGCATCTCGGGGGAAGGGCGGGGGGCTAGGAGGGGGTAAACAAACAGGTAAATTAGACGGCTCCTGCGCAGCGCTGGGTTTGGGGGGGGGCTGAATTGTTAGTGAAGGAATCTGATCAAGCACTCAAGTGGGATTTCATCTTCCAGACACTTCTTCATCATCATCCTCGCTCTGAGGTGAAAGTGGGATTTTAGGTGGGGGGGAGGCAGACTCATCCTTTATTTGTGCACAAATAATACAGATCTTATGATTATAATCCCATCATGCCGGAAAGAACAAAGCTTCCGTTCTCCCCGACTGCAGAAAAACGTCCCCACAGTTCAGGATTTCCACCAAGTCCACACATCTATTATTCAACCCCCCCCCCCCTTTTTTACTTTATGTTCCACCCACACAGAGAATATGCCGGCATACTTGCAGACCTACATGCATACACACGCTCCATTGTCACCACGTGGTACATGTGGAATATTGCATTTCTATGTCCTCTGGCCTCCTTGATGACTAAGTGTTGATAATGAATCTACTGTCTGGGCCCCGAGGCGCACTATATGGATTTGGGGCAGGTTTATTAGCACATTTATAAATGTGGTGAATTAGCGATAAATGTGCTCCTTTGTGGAACATCGGGCCGCTCTCTGGCTCTGCGTGTGAACGAAATGCAGTTTCTTGCCTGGATTCGACTCGTCTTAAATCCTGAAACTGAGACGTCCTTTCATCCATCTCGGGGAAAGCGAACATGACAGCCGAATCACACGGCGACGTCACCACTCCGACTCTGAAGAACCGGCGGGGGAGAAGAACACAAGCGCGCGCGTGCGCGTGTGTGTGTGCGCAAGGCGCAAAGTGCGATGCAATCAAATCAGACGTTTTTTAAAAACCCATTTTGTCACATTTGGGCATTGAGCCGTTTCACACTCCCAACGAGCGTGACAAGCTAACCGAGGTTTGGATTCATGAACACCTCGTCTGCAGTACTTCCTGTCATCCTGCGGGGGGAAGCTTTGCAAAAGGGAGTCAAACAAATTCACCTGCAGACTAAGCGGCAATATTCGCGGCGGAGGATCCGTCACTCGAGAGCCGCGCCCGAACCCGGGGGGGGTTAAAGGGTACACACCTTGTCCCGGTCTTCTACGAGGTCGATCAGCAGGTCGTCCATGTCCATGATCCCGCCTTCGATGTACGTCAAGTGGTGGGTCCTCACCTCACTCTCCTCATGCTGGGAACACAAAAAATATAAAGTACTTTTTCCACAAAATGTTCCAGAAACATACTTGTGTCTTGTCTTGTCTCCCCCCCCCCCCCCACACACACACAATGGCTGAAGATTTCAGGCATTGTTTAGTAGGGAAAAATAACTCCAGGCTGCCATCGCGCTCCACTATGAAGTCTTTGTTTACAGCAAGATATGTGCAACAAGGCTGACAGTCACACTACCATAACACACACACACACACACACACACACACACACACACACACAACCCAGACCCAACAGCGGGCTCGCCTGTTTGGGGTACAGCAGCAGCCAATGACCTACATTGCGTTGCACGTACACAACAACTCGGTCGGGCACCAGAATGGTGTGAGGAGGGAAGTTGGGGGGGGCGCCGAGGAGGAAGTAGCCTGAGCCCGGGGCGCCCCCACCATTGCCAGTGGGGAACCAGGCCGAAACGTTATTTGCAATCGGCGCGTGGCCGATGGGGCTCAAAGAGAAGTACTTGAACAATGGCGTCTTCCCCTTTCCGCGCGAGTGTGGGAAGAACATGTGGACTTTTTACAATGACCGATCTGATAAGAGCGGCGAAACCGCAGTGTCAATCAAACCTCCCGGCGCAAAATGTCTCCCAACATTTCTATTAGTAGTCATTCCTCGATGAGAAAGAAATCTATGCGGCGCCTTTATCCTTCCATAACAATGTGTGCAGTGGAAGCGCGTTAGGGACGGCCAATGAGCAATCAGCGCATCAGCAGCTAAATGGCCGGCTACGGGCAATAAGCCGCGCGGGCCGGGATGACTTTGGCGGAGACCCAGCGAGCGGCTTCTGCTGCATCACCCAGAGCCGGCGCCAATGGGCTCCTTGCTGCTCCGCTGCATCTGAATGTGAATTACGGGGCGCGAAGAAGAAGAGGGGGTCTGCTGCCTCGTACAATGGGCCGAGTTCGTTCTCTTCCGAAACAAATGGTCGGGGGAGCCTGGGATTTCAACCACAGGAATGAAGCCGAATCCTTCCTTTCTTCAGAGGCGCGCCCTTGAGGACGGAGCTGTGAGACAACTTTACAACTCGCACACAAATCACAGTGACGTTTCCCCACAATGCAGCGCTCGAGAGGCGAGAGTTTCTCGTCGGTGAAAAAAAAAAAAGAAAGGCTGACAAAAGACAGTAGAAACCTGCATCGTCGTTTTTTTATTCGGTTTTAAAAAGACAAGCAAACGCAGTGCATGCTGGGAAGACACAGTAACGAAGTCACGGACTGTTTTACACAAAGATGGGAAAGGAGGGTAACTTCACAGGGCTGGGGATGTGTGAGGGAAAGGTCACGTGACACAAGTTGGGCGGTATTTTGTAAGCTTCAACGCACGCGCAAATGGCCGGCGCGTTAGCTCGTTAGCTGTTGGGGCGGCTAGTGTTGCCACGGAACAATTATCTCCGTCGGCTGCACACTCGGCAGTAAGGTGTTGAAATAAAAATATGCTTCCTGCCGATAAAACAACGGCAGTCATTACGGCTACACACCAGTCGCATATCTTAAGGAGATCCGATACTGTCGTACCGGTTGAACCGGTGTACCGGCCAGCCCTACGAGCCGCCGTAGCAATTCTGGTACTTTCAACTTTTATGGGATAAACTTAATAATAAAGTCAAATGTTGCTCCATGGGAAAAAAGAGGTGTGGTCAGATGACCTTTCCAAATACAGAAAAAAAGCCATAAAAGTGACATTGCTCAAAAGTCATTTAAAAGCTAAACCATTGGATCCACTAAACCAGACCAAAAACACGTGTTTTTTAATATTTATTATTATTTCACTATATGGACGTATAGGATGGAGACGGTGAAATCAAAATCGGCGGAGCAAATATGTAGCAAAGACATCCGGGCAAATAATTTACACCTCGTCAGAAGAACCAGTCCGACCTGAACGGCTGCTGGCATTCTGCCTCTCACGACACGGTTCCCATTATGTGTGAGAACGAGTGAGTGTGTGTGTAGCATGCAGCAGAGGAAGGAACTCGTTAATTGGCTCTTTGGCAGTGCCATTGCATCACTGCCATTAAGACACACACACACACACACACACACACACACACACACACACACACACACACACACACACACACACACACACACACACACACACACACACACACACACACACACACACACACACACACACACACTTTTATGAAATATGAGGGGTTTCAGCTTCCTTTTTTTCGCATCGGCAGATCAGAGCGCAGCAGTTGCCTAAGTGTTAATTAGCATCACCTGTGTGCGTCCGTTTCCTCAACCGGAGAAACAGTGCCGAGTGATGAGCGGGCGGATCGTGTGTTTAGGGGGGGGAATCTATGGAGGAGGAAGAAATATACACTCCTCTGAAGTTCCTGGTTGTCAATCCCTGATAATTCCCCTTTGTATCTTGAACTCTTCCCCCGAAGTTCTGAGTCAGTCAGACGGAGGAGGAGGAGGATTACCATGACAGCTAGAAGGGTAAATTCCCCTGCAAATTACACAATTAAAAAAAAAATTTAAAAAAAAAAATCTTCTCCCGCTCTCTGGTGAGAAAACGTGACTACACTGGAGAGCGTGCGTGATTTAACCTGCGGCGAGCAGACAAATCGCCTTCGACCGCCGATTTCCGAGCGAGTGACGGGAAGGGGAGCGAGAGGCTGCGGCCTTTGGGAGCAAGGAGACGAAGGCGCTCTTCCTTCCGCTCGAGGTGCCGAGGGTCTGCCGGCTTCTCTCCTCCTCTGCTCTCACGACTCTGCAACGGAGGACATGGATGGATTTCCAAAAGGGCCGCCATGGCCAAGTTGGGAGTCGCTCAACGCCCCCCCTCCCCCTCAGCTGTAGCCGCGCGGCTATTTGTTACATTACATGTCGTTTGTTTGTTGTACACTCCGCTGAGGGACCCGGGGAGTTTGAGCTGGAACGCGCGTCAGCTCGAGGAATGCGGCGGAACTCTCTGAGGCAATCGGACCGCCGGCACAGGCTCCGCAAGTACAAGAGGCTAGAATGAATGCCTTCTGCATAGCCGAGTGGTGACGCATGACACACACACACACACACACACACACACATCACGAGGATGGAAAGAAGAGTGCAGGTGGAAAGAAACAAAAAATTAACCTCAATCACCTGCAATGACTCATGCAAACAATATTTGCATTGTTTGGGGTCTCAAACGTTTATTGCTTCAAATCAAATCTTTGAAGACAACTGTTGATGAGAGTATAATATAATAATTAGCACCTGACTTTCTAATTTCTGTTTGACCGAGTAATAAAAACCCACCGCCGCTGAGAGGCGAAATGTGCCGTCCCCGATCTGGTTCTGTAAAGAGGAGGCATCGTGTGTCTGGCTCCTAATTAAAACAAGGCAACGTTTTGCTTTAGCTTGTGCAGGGGGACGCCGGGCACAACAAGCTCCTCTGTGTGTCTGTTTTCCTATCTGGGTGCTCGAGAGTAAGCAATACGTCCAGCTTGTGTGGGCCCTCTCGCACCTCCGCAAGCCGGGCCTCTTTGCCTCGCCGAAAGGGGGGCGGGTTGGGTGAATGTGGGCGGGCTCACTTGGCGGTGGAGAACAGCCATCCGATAAGACCCGGACCCGTCACCAGCCCTAATCCCCAATCACTCACGGGACAAAGCCCCCTGTCCACGGCACGCATCGCACCCCCCCAACCCCCCTCCCCACGTTGACGACGTCAAAACAGTAAACTCCCACCTGCGCGCCTGAGATACCAGGGCTTAAAACAGGGAGCCATTGTGCAGGTAGACAGCTGAAAGAGGCTGAAAGAGTCCTATCACGGCAGGGCAGCGTGCGCACACACACGGCGCCTGATTAATTAAAAAAGGTCAGTTTGAGTGATTAATGCTCAAGTGATTGCAGCATCAGGGAGCAGAGAGCTTTGTTTTTTTGTGCGCGTGTGGGGGGGGGGGGGGGAGGGGGGGGATAGCTTTTTGGCTCCCGATGTTGCCTGGGGTTTGTTTTTTTTCCTCTTCCCGTTTTCCCACTCCCAATTTTCCCCCCCACTGGCTTGGATTTTGGGCTATCGAGGGCCTTTTTGGGGGGTGGTTTTCTTTTTGGAAGGGTTGTTGACCCTCCAAAATGGGAAAAAAAGTTTAACAGAGAATTCAAACAGCAGTGACGAACCAAAACCAACACTTACATACGAGTTAAGCTTCTATAACTTGTACTTACATGACTTGTAACAAGTTCAGTGGAACAAAGTAAAACATCATGTATATATCTCACTGATGCTAACGTTAGCAGCTAACGTATCAATAGTATCCACACGATGGTGAAATTGGTCACGTGACACCACGGCCGAGTTATGAGAGTTATTGTTGTTATGGTTACATGAAGAACGAGGGGAACTAAAGACGTTTGATGCGTTGTCGCGGGGGGGGTCGCGTAACTAGAAGTGACGGCTCGAAGGGTGTTTACCTGCTCCAAAATCCTGCGGTATCTCCGCGTGGCTTGGTCGGTCAAATCCCGGACGGTCCACGCAGTTTTACAGGGAACCACCACCGCCGTGTCCCCGAACGTCACCGTCACCTTCATGGCAGCTGTCAGGTCAAGCGTCGGTGGAGGGTCCTTGTTGGGGTTCGGGGGGCGGGGAGGTGTGGGAGAGAAATTATTCCGTGTTCCAGTTGAGCTGTTCCTCGGTAGGGGGCGAGGAAAAGTGGCACCTGTCCGTCGGAACCGGAGCAACAGGTGTCTCCGGTCAGGTAGAATTGGCGATGAAGTCCTTCGTCCGTCTCGAACGGGCTGCGGGAAGGGAAAAAAAGAGGAAAAAAGTACGTCTACAACATGTTTGTTTCCACCGAGTTGTCGTGCGTGTCGTAGAAAAACGGAATGTACGACCGCGGGGTGTGACTTTGCGTCATTGTTGCGCGCTGTGCCGAGACACCGAAACAAAACACAACTGCGCGAGGAACCCGGAAGAAATCTCAGTGACTGGCGCTACAGGAAACCGCATTGATCACCTGCCGCTACCTGCCGCGCTACAGGTCGCCGCTTTATTCATTTGTGTGTCATAATCTCGATAATATTTCGCTTCAAATTGTTTCGCAAGGTCACGGAATTTTGTGTAGTTTTAAGATTTTAATGGACGCACACGTTCGAAAAACGATCATCCAATTATACGTTTACGGTGGCATCTGATAAACGCTTCATAAACTGTGAAACGTGTCTTTAGATTGCATTAAAAACAACAGTGCTATTTGATCTATATGTCTGAAAAACTCTTAACTTTACAAGCATTTTCTTTGCACGTTTGAACTGCTCCAGAATAATCCCAGTTTACTTAACGCAACAAGTGCACGGCAGGTCACGTGACAGCGAATCAACCAATTAGCTCATCGGGACACGTTTCATCCTTTTCATCGACACGTCAGGTTGAAAGGTCAGCAAAACGACCTACAAACTGACAACCATGTAGTTAGGTCAAGGAAAAAATAATTTTCAATCCAAGGCTTATTTATTAAATACTATACATTTGATCCCACTTGTACATACACAGCCTGTAATCACTTTATTATCATTTATAACGATCGAGGAAATTTGAATTGAGAATCTTTACTTTTCATAATTAATTTAACTAAAAGAAAAACGTAGCAGTAAGTGATGCAACGGTTCGAATGCATATTCTGGTTTTCATGGATAGAGTTTCCATGAGGTAAACTGTCCACATATATTTGCAGGGAATTATGTTATGCCTAACTCCTTCTAATCCCTCTGTGCTCACACACACACACACACACACACACACACACACAACTCTACTCTCAACACATACTAATTCCCTTCCCATTATGGTTTGTCATTTTGTGTCATTAGGTGTGTTGTGAAATTGCCTTTATGGATATTAATGGCCACTGACATGCTCCCGGGGCCTTATTCACACGCTTTGTTTGGTTTTCGCTTTCGGGAATTTCCTCCCCGTCATATCTGAAAAGCTACCGCGGCAGATGGACTCATAATCGGAACAAGCAATTATTTCTACTACCGCTGTAATTCACTCGAAATGCACAGGACGGAACAATGAAGGGCTGACGGCCTCCTTTGCCTCTCCTCTCATCCCCAACAAACAAGGTGAGGTGAGAACGAACGAGAGTTTTTAAAATCTTTGTTTTTCCTCTACCAGGTTTAACACTGGCAGAGCCAGGGAGTGTGATGCTGGTTGGTTTAAAAACCAACAGAAATTGGCATATTCCAAGTCGAGTCATTCAAAGCAGCACCCGGCAACGCTGCACTTCAGCAGCTCTGGAGTGGCGACGGGTGATTGCAGATTGACATTTTGAAGACTTCATTATCCAGAAATCACGTAAAGTGGCTCCAGTCCAGTGGCACCCAAATGCATTGTTTAGGGCAACGGGTGGAGAGTGCAGGAAAAAAAAATACATATATATATGTATATATATATTGTGTAGCGAGTCTGTGATTGTAGCTGGAGCCCTAAACATACTGCACTTTCAATGGACTTTGTTTTAACTTGTTCAACAAGATTCTTTTTTGGGGGCCTTTTGTGTTTATTTTACAATGACAGTAGATCTGGAACTCCAGTCGTTGTTTAAAGACACAAAGGCTCATCACTTCTCCATATTCATGTGACAATTAGCTTGACAACTTCTCCTTTTTTCACATCATGCGCATAGAGCATATGTTCTTTAACCGTAATATATTTTCCCATCACTAAACCTAATGCAGTTTACAATTGTCTCTACTTACCCAGTCATATAAGCAATATAAATAGGAAATAAGGAATAAAAAAATGGATTTAAAAAAAGAATTAAATTATAATCGTGTATGGTTCTTTCTATATCTTTGGAACAACAATCTTGGCGCCCTGAAGGCGGGAAGGCGGGACGACGGCGGCCGGAATGTCAAAGCGCTCGGGGTTCGCGGACGCCATTCGAGGCGTCCCGAAGTACCGCGGGGGAATCGAGCCTTTTCTCTGGAGTCTTTTCACTCACAGTCTTTGCCCCTCGTCTGGAAGTGAGGCGCAGCGGCCAAAAGCGTCGTCAATAAAAATCCCAGTGATGGTTTTTGTTGTTTTGTTCAGCGCGCTGAGTGCAATTTACAGGGCTGGCTCGTCTGGGTCGATATTTCGCGTTGATTTGCTTTCAGTCTTCGAGCAGCGCCCCTTTTCTAAAGAGCAAAATTGACGTGTTCTCAGCGGCGAAGCCACCACCCCGGTGCTTCAGCTCAGTGTGGGACCGAGTTCTGGTCAATAGCTGAGACTTGCTTCACTTCCTGCTGCGCTGCTTACAATTACAGGCCACAAATCAGTAGCAAGTATTACTCATAAAAACCTTCTTGTGCTCCCTGTGTGTGTGTGTGTGGCTGCGCAGGTGGGGAAGGAGAGATGGTGTTTGCAATCACAAAATGTGACTCTCGGTAGGCAGGATTTCATTTCAGACCTCAGGTATAATATTCCTGGTGCGAAATTGCATTCCTTTTGTGCGCGGCTGCTGAAAAGCTCCAATTGAGTCGCTGAAGTGTTGCCCGAATTGGTGTCTGGAATAATCACAATTATTCAAAGCAAAAACACCTGTCATCGGGCCCCCGGGATCTATGGACACACAGAGGCGCGCACTGTACTTTATAACACTTTTACAACTTGTTGCGCACTGCTGGAGCACCACTTCCTTTTTTGAAAGGGTAAGAAGATTGTAAATGAAGAAAAGGGTGCGTTTTCATCTAAATGTGGAGGTTGAAACGGCACTATGCGACCACTTCTCTCGCCTGTGTGGGATTTGGTCATACAAGTGACCCAGGAAATACACGGCTCCCACCGTTGAATCAGGGCTCAGCAAAGAGTGGAGCTCAGTTCAGCGGAAAGTTCCACCTGTTTTTTTAGTGCTGTTAAACAAGGAAGTCTTATTCCATCATGTAACCTCCAAAATAAAAGCTTTGGCCGGATTCCAGAAATGCAGAGTGAACACAACCATAACATGATGAGTTACGTAGACTGCCAACATCCCCTCAGTGCATCGGGATCATGTGTGTGTGTATGTGTCACATTTTTGGGATACAAAACCCACGCCTGCCCTTTTTTGAAGACATGCTTTTCATTGATCCAACACTCTGGGAAGGCTGTGGTCGATGTGCCAGGGGCCGACTGAATGTACCATGTTACGCAAGCGGATGAGTGTTTGATAAACCGTGTTAATCATCTACTTTCGGAGCGGCTGCTCCACTGGCAATAAACCATGGGAATTAGCTGTTCTGTCATCATAAAAGATCATAGAGCAGGTTAAGAAGGAGGGAAATCAGGCTCCAGGCGACGGCAGCCGGAGGTGGGATGTGGATCCCGTCGATTGCATCCACGCGTCAGCGTGCTTTTTCGCACTCGTTTTCCGCGAGGAAGCATATTTCCTTTCACGAAGGACGAGCCACCCATTTTTGACTGTTGCGAGCGTCTAATGAGACAGACTCGACGTTTCTCGGCTGAGGCATGGAGTTTGACAAAGCGACACTCTCGCCCTTTTGCACCACGGGGCTCGATGGGTGAGAATGAGACTTTATATCCACCAGGCAGGTAGCACATCGCTCACTCTCTCACACACCACCCTTAATGGATCAAATTAGCGCTCTGGCACATAAACCCTGTTTTTCCACCAGCTATCATCACCCCCCTCCCCTCCTCCTCCTCCCTCCTCCCCTCGTTTGTTCTCTAACGCTTTTTTTTTTCCGCTCGCTTCTTCTGTCTGAGACGGGTAATTAAAATCCACATTTACACAAAAGTTGCTTTAATTTAAGTTCATTACACCGTGCCAGTCGCTGGCTTCGCGGGATATCTTTTTTTGGAAATCCGCCGCCTTGAAACCATGGCAACTGCCGCATAACCTCATTTTCCGCCTAATCACAGCGAGAGCGACTGCTAAACATTGATTTGGACAATTATGGAGCCACATTTGCAACAGAGGCGAACAGGGTAGAGGCAGTGGTTTAGGGAAGGTGGGGACTGGGGGGTGGGGGCGACTTAAATGTCAGTAGAGGAGAGGGGCCAGCGTGGTACATATGTGGATAGTTTAATGGCTCTAATGGCCCTCTTTATGCCGTTTCATAAATGCTGTCTCGTAGATGTAATGCAATGTCCTCCTTTTCTTTTCAATCCGCCTCGTGAACTTTTCTCCACCGCTTATTTCCGCCTGCTAATTTGACCATGAGTGTTTCTATTTAAAGCGGGAGCGGGGGGGGGGTTTATGTTTCGCCCCGCTTGATTCGATCGAAATCGCACAACCTGTTTTTTTATCACAAGCAGAAGGGGCCCCCAGGTTGCTCGTGGCCTCAGAGGTCAAAAGGTCAAAAAAAAATAAAGTTGAGAGAGGCTTTACTGTAACGACACCACCTCCTTATGGGGTATCGTTACCGCTCCAGCAGGGGCAGTCACTTGTTGTTCGGCTGACCTGGCTTCAAAGGGACTCGATGGGGTTCTGCCGCTGTTACGGGACCCGACTCGAACCAAGGGGATTGTGGGGATTTATCTCCGGGCTCATACCGAGACAAATGTTGTGAGGCTAAGTCAGCAGAAGCGAGGGAAAGACAAACAAAACCGTCGCCTCGGCGCATCCGTGCCCATCACAAGTCGTCTGAGATGGGGGAAGTAACGCCGACTTGTTCGCCAAGCGCGCTCCATTAAGTTATGCAAATGGGCTAATTGCTAATGCATAGCGGCCCTGCTTCCTCACTTAACCCTCGGTTTCCATAGCAGCTCACAGCTTGGCTGGCATTGAGCGGCAGACGAACAGAGGGGCCGTCGCGATGGCAAGAGGGATGCCGGGAAGGGAGGAGGCGTGTGCATGTACATGTGCGGGGCAAAGAAGAAAAGAGGGATCAAAATTGCGCCCCCCCCCTCCTCCCCACTGCCAATCAAAAAACCCAATTATCATCCTCAATCAGCACCGGGTAGACACAAAGAGGCGCTCGCGAACAATGGATCTGTGGTCTAGACCAGAACAATTACCGTGTAATTAGTTCATCAGACAATCCCGGATTGATCCGTCTTT